GAGCCGGCCCGTCCTTCCGTCCGCCCGTACCAGCCGTCCCCGCCCGGCCCACCGCGCCTGCGCATAAGGACCCCGAGCCGGCGTCGAGCCGGCGTCGCCGACGTGCGCCTTGGCGGAGGCGGAGCCGGGCGAGGACGGCTGGTACGGGCGGACGGAAGGACGGGCCGGCTCCCAGGAGTCCTGGTTTCATCACGTCCAATAGGGTTCCAAGTGAACGGCTTCCGCCCGGATGGGTGAGTTGTAGTCCGCGGTTCCAGGAAGGCGACATGTGCATTGTGGGCTAAACAATGACGTTCTTGGCCTTTGGGTGACTTCCTCCTTCCGGGGAGCTTTGGTGGTTACCCCACTCCCACTAATGCCGTCGAGCCTTGCACGGCACCAAGATGCCTACCGCAATGAGGAAGCGAAGACAGACCCAGTTTCAAACAATAAAGATTCTTTCCAGGCTAGGTGAGGAGATGCGCTAAGACGAATTTCATGTGAAATAGCCTTAATACCCGGCCGCTCGCAGCAATCTGGGATAGATCCAACGATAGCCCGCAGAACAAAGAAAATTCGTACAGAACTTTATTTATTACTTATAGACCTCTGAAGTCTTCCACGAAGGGGAGAGAGGTCTCAGAGTTTAGCTGTTTAATGAATGTATCAGATAGTAAATAAAGCGCAGTCAGTAAAGCATCTAACAGCCCCTAGCTTCTCCGGACATAATTAAAAAGCAGACCTGCTGGCAGAGGAAAGGTGAAAACTCCTAGGCCCAACGCCAAGTTATACTGAAATCACTAACCCTATTAATTACAAGACGAATGTTCGAAGGCTTTTCCTTTTCCTACCAACACTGACATTGGAACCCAGGATCTCAAGCGTGCTAAGAAACATTCTACCATTGATGGGCAGAATGGCAGGCCGACCTCGAATCTGTGGTCCTCCTACTCCGGAGTGGCTGGGTTTCCAGACTGGTCCCACCACACCCAGCTGACTATTTACACTTTGAGAAGTCAAGAATAGACTGCTCCTCTAAGGTCTTTTCACTCCCAGAAGAATAATGAAAGATACTGTTTTACTGGTTACAAAATAAGGTGTAAATATCGCTATTGTTGTTTTTTTTTTTTTAAAGAACTTCACCTCCTCCCACATATTCCCCCAACACCATTGCTACAGTTTACTGTGAGTAGTGCCCACATCCACCTTAGTGTTCACCAGCTCTGTAAGCATTTTCTCTGGGAAGGTAGGTATTTTTTGACAGAGGGATTTCCCCACTTCTTAGGCTCAAAGTGTGATGACTTCTCTTCAAAAAATATGGCCTCATAGTTAATGTTATTGGCAACAGCCCAGGTTTCCCCTCTTGTCTGAAGGAAACATAACAGTACAGAAAGTACCGAAGCTGACACAGCACAACGATAGGGAGATTACTAAATAAACTGTGGGATAGCCGTACTCTCCAATACCAGGAGGAATTAGAATGAATTACAACTAGACACGGTATCCTAATAAAAGATCTCCAAAGCATGGTTAGTGGAGCAGAGGGGGAACAAATAGAACATATAATAAGGTGATATAAAAATAGATTTCTGGGTCTATAGCTTGATTAGTGAAAGTCTTGTCACACAGCTTTGGGTTCATTCATCCCCAGCACTGCATGAAGCAAGTTGTGGCATACACCTGTGAACCCAGCGCTTGGGAAGTGGAGCGAGGATAATCAGAAGTCTAAGGACATGCACCAATACAAAGTTTAAGGGCAGCCTAGAATGCATGAGACTGACTTTAAAACAAAACACAAGTTCCTGCAGCCTATGAGGGGACACATTTGTGATCCCAGCACTGGGGAGATAGAAAGTGAAGGGTCAGGAAGACAAGGTCATCTTGACTAAATAGCAGATGTGAGGCTAACCTGACAATAAGAGACTTTGCCCCAGGATAATACAGATTGTCATTACGTGTGCAGGCTTGTATGCACGCACGCATGTGGATGCAGTACAAGAATTTCAAATAGAATTCAGCGATCATTAGCAGTTACCCGATTAACTGTGGAGGAAGGGAACCTTTCCAGGGAATAGAGAAACCCGTACTGAAAAAAGTGCTTTATTTGTACTTTTAAAAAATTACTTTATTGCTGGGCAGTGGTGGCGTACCCCTTTAATCCCAGCATTCAGAAGCAGAGGTAGTCGGATCTCTGTGAGTTCAAGGCCAGCCTGATGTACAGAGCTGGTTCCAGGATAGCTAGGGCTGTTACACAGAGAAACCCTGTCTCGGAAAACAAAACAACCACAAAAATCACTTTATTAAGATTTAACCTAGCGCAATGATTCACCAATTTTAAGTGTGCAATTTAATAGCATATATTCTATAGTATATTCATTTCTAAGGCTGATGAGTATAGGGATAGCTTGGCAACCTTGGATCCTTCTTAGCTGGAGCTACACACACATCTTTCCCAATAATGAACTTTGCAACCTGAGACCCTCACCTGCATTAAGCTGAAGTGGGTCTTGAGAAACTGTTAGTAACTCCCCCTTTTTGACCGGATACAACCCAGGAACTAAAAACAATGGGGCAGTCCAGCTTGAACCGGCTTTGGATGTGTCCTGTGAGTGAGCTTTAGGGAGAAATCAGCTGTTGATTATCTTATTCCTGTTTATGATGGGGTATGCATATAACGAAAATCAGATCCACTGTAGGAAAGGACATGTGCAATGAACAAAGACTTACAAAACAATCCTGTATATCAAAACAAAACAAAAAACCCACCCACATACCACCCCCAGGAAACACTCCTCTGTTTCTTGGGCCCACAAAATGAAGCCCCAAGCAGTAACCAGGGCTTTTTTTTTCTCCTCAAGCATATATATTTTTCACTTTGCTTTGAGTAAAAACCTTTGCTACATTCCTATTTGGGAGGCCACTGGTAGTATTTCTGTTACCCACAAAAGCAAACTTACCCATACTCCTTTGTACTTAACCTGTCCTTGCCAACAACCTCTAGCCAATCACGGACTTCTAGTGTTTTTTAAAAGGTTTATTTATGTGTATATGTGCATCTGAGTGTTTCTATTATATGTACATACGAGGCTGCAAGGAAGCCAGAGGAGGTTGTTGGATCCCCTGGGACTGAAATTACAGATGGTTGTGAGCAGTGAGTTCCAACTGTGGTCTTTCGCAACGGCAACAAGTACTCTTAGCTATCTCTGTACACTGAGCTATCTTTCCAGCCCCTATTAAATAAGTTCTTAAAGCCCCAAATGAAAACAAAGATACAAACAAACCAGATATCTTTAAAAAATTATAATAATAAGGAAACACACAGACAATCCAGATAAGCTTTAAAAAAGATAATAAAAGGTACTGGAGAAATAGGTCAGTAGTTAATAGTACTCGCAATTCTTCCAAGTGCGTGCTCTTCTCTCTCTCCCCCTCTGCCCCCCCACCGTGTGTATGTGTGTGTGTGTGTGTGTGTGTGTGTGTGTGTGTGTGTGTGTCCCAGCCCCATCTCTCCCAGAGTCTCATATATTCCAAGCTGGCCTAAAACGTGCTATGATGGGCTCAAACTCAGGACTTCATGTATGTTAAACAAACATTTGCCAACTGTGCTACATCTGCACCACTGAAAAGATTTCATATTTAGTCTTTAAATTTCTCCCAATTTTGTGCAAGTCCCCCTTTTAGGGCCTGAGTTCTGATCCCAGAACCCAAGAGAACTTCTATATCCTCTTTGATTAAGAATAAAAGAAAAAAAAGTTCTATAATTCTGTTCATCTCTTCAAAACCTAGTGATGCGGGAGAATTATCTGTATTCTGTCAATTATGTATTTTAATAAAATGCTGATTGGCCAGGCAGGAAGTATAGACGGGTCAACCAGACAAGAAATAGAGGCGGGATGGCGGGACAATGAGAACAGGAGAAGGCTAGGAAGGAGGAAGTCCATTTCTCCATTCCTGCCCAGATCACCAAAGAAGCAACATGTGAGCTGACAGCTGAAAAAGGTACCAAGCCACATGGCTAACATAGATCAGAATAATGAGTTAATATAAGTTACAGGGGCTAATAGGAAGCCTGACCTAATGGGCCCATCAGTTTATAATCTTAAGGAGTCTTGTGTGTGATTTTCTTTGGGCTTGCCGTTTGTGGGGTACTGGGCGGGACAGATACCCCCAACAAGTGGGCCCTTCATGTTACACTAAAATAAACAAAAAGAATAGTGATGTCAAAACAGATTTTCAGATTTCCAACTAAGAATACATAGGCAACTGATATATCAGTATCAAGTGGGCAACTGCTCACAAAAGAGAATGCTAAGAGCTAGAATGCATTATACAGATTATTCAAGTTATTCAGGATCAGAGAGATTAAATAACACACCCAAAGTCACATGGTAAGGGCAGTAGAATTAGGACAGGAACCTATTTCTTCAGATGATATATAGTTACTACACACAGTGACTTGTTACTTTAGGAAACAGCCCCACAAGAAAAAAATGGCTACTGTTTATCCAGGTCAAGTCTTATACTTCTAACAATTATGAGGAAGATGTGATAAAGTTACCCCAACTCTCATCAACACACTAGTTCACTCCTCATGCCCTTTCCCCTGC